CGTCCCCACTCCCTTTATAAGACAGGGTTTTGCTATATAACCCCAGTGGGCCTGGAACTCACAGTATGGCCCAGGCTGACCTTAAACTCGTGGAAATCCTCTTGCTTCAGCCCTTCTGAAAGCTGGACTTACAGATATAAGTCACATTCTATCCAGGGAACAGGCAGACAGCCACTCTTTAGCGGAACTTGTCAAATTGGACTGGCCACATCTAGGGATGGAGGAATTCACTGACTCAGAACTCCTGACCCCACATCTGGATTTTCCAATTCTCCACTTCCCAGAGTTGGTGCTAAGCAGGAGAGCTTTCCTCCTTGTGACTCTTTTTTTTAATTATTATTTTTATTTTATGAATATGAGTGTACTGCCTCCATGTATGTAAGTGCACCTGTGTCATGCAATGCCCACAGAGGTCAGAAGTGGGTGTAGGATTCCCTAGAACTGGAGGTATGGATGGCTGTCAGTCACCATATGGGTGCTGGGAATTGAACCCAGGTCCTCTGAAAGAGCAGCTAGTGCTCTTAACTGCTGAGCCATCTCTCCAGCCCCCTCCTTATGGTTATTATGAAGAGAAAAATCCATCCCAAGTTCTCCTTCTACGTTCCTAAATGTCACTGAATACTGGCTTCTGTGGCTTCCCTACTGTCAACCCTGAGAACGTTTAACTCTCCTAATGAACACATTTGCTCAAGAGCAGGAGCAGCATCCTATTTATTTCCATCTATCAAGAAATTAACACAGTGCCTAACATATACTATGCTCACTGTGTGTGTGTGTGTGTGTGTGTGTGTGTGTGTGTGTGTGTGTGGATTGCTCACTGAAAAAGAAAAAGGTTTTTGCTTTCTGTCAGGTATATTGCAATCTCAAATACCTATTAATCCCTGTCAGGAAAGCAACAAGCAAAACTGTATATCTCACTCTACCAGGCATTTATTTCTCTATTCACTGGACTGTTAAAGCTCTATACCTCAGAACAGAAGATGCAGGTCCCCAAATCACCTCATTCTCTCTTGTTTCTACCCAGAATGTGTGACTGGACTCCAGACTTCCTCTGCAATTCAGAGAGAATCTCAGCTCGCATGGGCTCCAAATACTCATGACCTTCGCCCAAAGCAGAACTGGGATGGACCAGGCTACAAGGGGCAGGCACAGGAGGCAGGCATGACACGCAGAACAGCTCATTACTGCTACACTAGATGGGAAATGTTAATACTTTTGTCATCAGAAAGCAGGGTATAAAAATTATTACCTTTCCTTCTCATTAGTTTTATGAACTTTTCCCAATAATGAGCTGAAACATTCACTCATGCAGAAGAGGATTAAAAATCAATACTGTAAAAGTCAGAGGCAAACAGAGGGAAGAAGAGCACATCAAATGCCAAATAGCTCTCAGTACACCCAGATGGGACTGTGGGCCTGAGGGTGTGGGACTCAGGGACACGGAATCACAGGGGCACTAAGGACACAAGGTAGCCAGCTCACTCCAACAGCCACCAGCTGTACCTCAGGTAGATCTGCTCCCAGGTCAAGGCAAATGTGCTATGACCCAAAAACATCCAGACTACTAGGCCCAGCAGGCTGCCAACCACCAGCCTCTTTCAGTGCTTGCATGTCAAAGGAATATGAGCTGGATAGCTAGGATTGTCAACTTGACACACCTAGAAAGAGGGAACTTCAGTTGAGGCATTTCCTCCACGGAATTAGCCTGTGGCCATGTCTGTGAAGCATTTTCTTCATTTCTAACTGATTGGGAGGCACAGTCCATTGTAGGCAATTCCATCCCTGGACAGTGGTCCTAGGTTGCATAAGAAAGCAGACTGAGCACAGACAAGGGGGAGCAAGCCAGTAAGCAGTGTTCTTCCTCCATGGTTTCTGCTTCTGTTTCTACCTCCAGGTTCCTGCCCTGCTCGAGTTCTTGCCTTGCTTTCCTCAAGGATAAACTGTGACAGGAATGTGTAGGATAAATAAGCCTTTCCTTCCCAAGTTGGTTTTGGTCAGTATTTTATCACTACAGAAAAGTAAACTAGGACAGTGTAAAAGACTTAGATAGGAAAGAAACATCATACTTCCTTCAGGTTTTCTCCACCTTTTCCCCCTCATTTAATTGCTCCATAGTTAGAATTCTCTCTACTAAAAATATTTGCCAATCCTACCCACCCAAAGGGAGCCACTTCATTTAAAAGAGATGGCAATAGCATCTGCCCAACACTTTAGCTTCTGACACACAACAGTGACTGGGTTTCCAGTCAGGCAGCCAGAACCACCTGCTATGGCTCCCTCCTACAGGACGTGCACCTGATGCTGCAGCATCTCCTACAGAAGGTGTGGAGGTGTGCCTGCTGCAGCACCACCCAACAGAAACCAACTACCATGAACTTAAGCAAGTAAGAGTGGACTAGTAGCTATCAGAGGATGAAGCAATCTTTAAGAAGGCAGGAGGAAGGAAAGTTAAGAAGGGTATCGAGACTGAAAGTAAGGATATCCCGAAGAGATAATAGAGAGCAAATGATATAACCTAACCTAAAAGATATATAAGCATGAGGGGTCTGCAGAGACCACTGCAATGAGTAACTGCTGCTCTGGCTCCCACCTTCCCTTGTACTCAGTCCAAACTGATGTACCTGGGGAGGAGGTATCCCTGACTGAGCATGGGACATGAGCCCAGACCTATCTTTCACAGAAGGTAGGCACTGGAATTACAATCTCACTGAGGCTACAGACTGCTGGAAACAGGAAATCTCCCAAAAGAAAATCAGACACTAGTTGTAAGGAGAAAAGGATGCTAAGCAGCCAAAAAATGGGAATGCTTAGAAAAGTAGGTATTTCTAGCAGGAAGGAGCTTGCTCCACTGTCTCCTAGAAGCTCTGATTTACAGGGAGCACTATTCATCTAGACATCAGATGAATCAAGCAATAATGCATTTTCTTTATTCTAAAGTTACAATTCATTAAAAAAGCAAACAAGAAACCCTACATACACATGCAGCAAGGGCATCTAAGTTCCCTCCCACTTCACAAGCAGCAGTTCTTATCCTAGGACAGTGAGGAGAAAGTGAGACCAGCTTCTCCTTGGCAAGTAGAAAAAAGGGAGGTTTTGAACCTTGCTTCGCTGTAATTAACACCTTCCAGGTGAGAATGAAGTGATGGTACACCCTTAGGTTGTGATGCTCTATCTCCAGAGGACTGACTCAGGTGAGGTAATGATCCTGCCCTGCTTAGTCCACATGACAACCTCTCCAGGAACAGAGCCCTTTGCACTGGCTGTCAGGCTGCCTGCAGTTGGGTGACAACCTACCTCTCTGCAGAGACTAATGTCAGGAACTTCCCTAATTGAGTCCTGGACATTTTCTCATTGCATCACCTGACTCCTCATCAGAAACTCAAGGAGTTCTAAAAGCACCAGTCCTTATGACTGTAAGGCATTCTCCACTGCTTCAGAGGTGCAGAGAGTCACCTTGTGAGTTAGCTCCTCAAGGCATTTAAAGCCTTCTATAATCTGGTTTCAGACCTCCTTCTCTCCCTGCATCTCACCTGTCACAACTGCTTCACTGGCCTGGTAGATGCATATCTTCCAGAGTGAGGGCAAATGCTGTCTCTGGTCTCCCAGCAGCTCACAGCATCCCCAAATAACTCACCTCTACTACTCAATACTTACTGGAACGAGTTTGGCCTCCTTCAAAGTTCTTGAGTTAAGTCTTTTTCCCCTAGACTGAAAATTTTCTGAAGCCTAGGACCCCAAAGGTTAGCATTTTGCAGAGCATTCCTCATGTGTCCACTGCATGCTCTGAACACCTGTGCAATTATCAGAACAGCCAGCGTACCTTTCTTCCCATTTCATCCCAAAGTAGCAATCTTACCCAGACTTTGTACCTTCCTGTGTACACAAGCTGCTGACCTAATACAGGCAAGACTGTCCCTGGTCTCAAAGCCCGTGGCCTCCAAAGCAAATGTCAACAGATGCTGTCCACAGCCATACCTCCTCCATCTACCATCAGTCCTGATGCTGTATGTTCACCTTCCGACTGATTAGGAAAGAGCCCTAAGTGCAGGCAGTGGAACCTCCATGGTCCCTCTGGGGATAAGTGATTTACCCTAGGTACCTAGTGCAATTCAGGCCAACCAGATGGAAGAGGAATGTTGCTGGGTGGCTCTGGACAGCAGTCCTTGCTAACAGAGACAAACAAGCTGACACAGTCCTTCATCTGCCGCGAAGTTGTGACCACGAGGCAGTATCAGCTATCGCAGAACCATGGAAACAGTCAGCCTGAGTGAGACTGGCTCATGGGACAGCAGAGGGGAAGGAGGAGGAGCACTGGGTCTCTGATAATACCTGCAAGTGCTGAATCGGTCCACCCTGGGGGTGCTTCTCCTAGACTCTTCATGTTATAGAATAAACTCTGCATTTAAGCAGAAAGGATCCTAATAGCTCCAATCACTTAAATGATTAATAACATAACAGCAGTCATAGCACATTTTCATGATTTGCCAACACGTGCTAAGCCCTGGGTAGCTATTATCCCTGATCCCTGGGGCAATCCTATGTGCGAGCATCATGATCCTCCATCAAAGCTCAGTGTGCCAAAGCTAGTAAGCAAAGCTATGATTTGTTCCTGGGCTTCCTGGTTATAGAAATAATGCACTTGGTGTTACATACTATATGTCCCAGACCTACACCCCCAGTAACCACTTGGCACACACAGCACTGCAGCCCTTATACCTGTGACATTTGCCATGAATGAGACTGTCAGACCCTATGGCTCTAGGGGCCTAAAATCACAGAGGTGGACCATGCCAAGGTGGCATGGCAAATCTGTAAGTCAGAACCTGAAGAACCTATATTCTCGTGGCCTGGAAGGCACTCTTTCCTGAAAGGCACAACTGATACAACCAGGGGGGCAACCTGAGCCCCACTGCCCAGAGGGACCAGGCTTCAGGGCCAGGCCTCCGGCACCTACTGCTATACGATCTGGCAGACCAGCCAACTCAGGAAAACACACTCACCAGCTGTGCCGAATGCTGCTGTTCATGGCTGGGGCTGCCCCGTTTCTTCGGCAGTGATGCCTTCAAGCGCTTCTCGGCTGCCTCTCTCTCCTTTTTTGCCACCTGGACTAGCTCATCCTGGACTGCAGCCTGCTCCTGTTGGAACCTAAGCCAGGAGAGCAACAGGGAGAATCAGGTGCACAAGGCCTCACTGGCAGAACAAGGGTATGGAAGGCTGAAGCCTACCTATTCACTTCACCTGACTAGGTAGGGCTGGGGTTTGTGGGCCACCAGAACTTTGAGCTAGCCCTCAGCTACCCAGAAGGTCATCCTCTCACCACTAGGTCAGTTACAGCACCCATGGCCAGGGGACAGTGACACTTAGGACAACACAGACCAGGAACAGAAGACCTGGCCACAGGCAAGGTATCAGGCAGCTCCTGCCAAAGAGAGATTTGTCAGGGGACAGCTGAAACCCATGTGAGCAACCCCTTCAAATGGGTGGGCAAGGTGGGCAGCCCCCTTCTCGCCTGTACTGAGAGCCTAGAGGTTGTTGACAGCAGCTGTCCTTTGTTTTGGACACCTAATTCTTCACCCTGAGTACACTCCTAACCCTGGACCTACCCTGGGAGTTTTGCCTAGTGTATCCTAGTAGAGAAAAGTTAATACTAAAATGTTCACAGCAGTATTTATTACAGTCCAACAATCAAGGTCAAGTTAAAAGAAAATACAGCATGATCCTACAGATCTGTATCACAGTACCAGTAGAAAATACTTATATATAGATTGAATCCAAAAATTGAGAACAAATAATCTGATGAGCAATAAGCATACTAAAAAGCAGGCATAACTGATGGAAAGCAGATTATAATAGTGAAAATAGCAAAATACAAAACTGTATATGATGTTAAACACCCTAAGCTAAGGGAAAGCACCACATGGAAGAGATTCCCCAAAACACCCACAGCAGGTGCACTGAGATAATGAGTCTATGGGAGATTTGTTTTAATTTTATGTTTTCTAAGCCTTTCATTAGTATGTATTATTTTAAAATTGTTTTTAAAAGTACCAAGGAAACTGGGTGTGGTGGTGCATGCCTTTAATTCCAAAAGTTGGGAGGCAGAGGCAAGCAGGTCTGTGTGAGATCAAGGCCAACCTGGTCTACATAGAGAGTTCCAGGCCAACTGGGGCTATAAGGAGACTCCTCCTCCCCGCCCCCCGCCGACAAAAGGCCAGGGTAGAGGGTAGGTTAGTTATTCCTGAAGAGGCCTTTGGGATTTGGGAGAGTAGTTTTTGAGAACTTGGGACTTTACAAGTCTGTCCTGCCAGAGGGCAGGGCCCCAATCATGGCTGACCCTGGGTCCATGGGCTAAGTCTTGGCCCTGGTACCACACAGAGGCCATTTCCTCAAAGATGATGAAGAAGTAAGGACTGCAGAGAACAGTCTCTGTGAGCCAGGAACCATTCCGTGTGTCTTACTCCTGATAGTGCCCCACTGAGGACATCATCTTCTTACTCCTTCTTAGTGATTTCTCAAGGTGACAACTAGTAGGTCACAGAATTAGAAGGCCTGCCTGTGTACCAGGGACCTCTTGTCCCATCCACTTTCCTACACACCCTTGGGGGAGAGAAAAGAGCTCTCCTACAGAGATGTGGCAAGCTCTCAGGATCATGGTCTGTACTGGTATACTGGTAGGAAGTCATTCAGATAGAACTGGGCTTTAACAATGGATTTTTTGGGGGCGGTCTTTTTGAAACAGGGTTTCCCTGTAGCCCCAGCTGGCCTGGAACTCACTATGTAGACCAGGCTGGCCTTGAACTCAGAGATTCACTTGCCTCTGCCTCCCGAGTGCTGGGACTAAAAGTGTGTACCACCATGCCCATCTTAACAATGGCTTTTTAAGAATCCATCTTTGGTAACTAACTCCCCTACATCCTTTTTACTGTTACTGTTTTCATTCTAAAACTAGGATCTGGGCCACCATATAGCCGTCTTCCAACACAAGTGAGATAAAATATGAGGCAAGTCTTTCAGGGCCCCAGATGTGAGAAGGCATCCAGAGGAAAATGGCTTTCAGGGGGAAAAGTGAGAGGGAACATAGACTCTTAGGCTCACCTCTTGAGATTCTCCTTTGCCATCACCAAGGGCTGCTGGCTACCACTGCTCTGTGTCCTGGGTACTTTGGAGTCTGCAAGGGAACCAGAAAAGGGCAAGTTAACAACATTCAGTATAAATGAAGGCAGGTGGGCACCAGAGTCAGGGCACAGGAACACATACCCATGGTTCAATGTGCTCCCTAAGAAAGCAACACTTTGCAAGTGGATAGATACATCCCCACAGAGGAGCATGTCCCAGGGACAGACCACAGAGCTCTACAGGTAGATGGAAGCATGTCCTTGATTCAATCATTCTGGAAAGCCCAGTGACCCTAAGGCAGCTGTACCCCTGAGGGCTCTATACCAGGATGTACACAGCACTGGACTGGCAGAAGGCAAAGTCACTTCAGTGGAATGTTCTAAGTCCACCTACTTGCTAGGCAATTCTGTGGAATCTAGATCAGCTCCTACCCAGAGCCCAGATGTCACTGTAGGCAATACCTGCTCTGCTGTGTATCCACAGCCCCTGGTCTAGATTTGGGCACCAGGGCAACAGTGGGTAGGAGGCTCTTGCATCATGTTTATTTTGGTATCTGCTACGATTTGAATGCTTGTCCCTCTAAAAGTCATGTTGAACCATTATTTCCATTCCAAATGTATTAAGAGGCAAGACCTTTGATCAGATTAGATGACATTGTGACAGCTCTCCCACGATGGCATCAGTGGCTTTGTAAGAAGGCAGAGAAACTTGAGTTGGTACACTTGCTCTGTCTCCCATATGATAACCTAGGCTAACTTGCACTTTTCAAAATTCCCACCAGCAAAATGGTCCTCACCAAATGGTGCCCCTTGACCTTGGCCTTTTCAGACTCCAGAACTGTAAGAAATAGACTTTTCTTTCTAAACTACCCCACCTGTCCTAGTTTGTTTCTCCATTGCTGTGACAAAATACTCTGACCAATACCAACTTGGGGAGGAAAGGGTTTATTTGGCTTACATCTCCCAGGTCACAGTTCATCAGGGAGCCCAAGGTAAGAACTCAGGGCAAGAACCTGGAGGCAGGAGTTGGAACACAGGCCATGGAGGAATGCTGCTTACTGGCTGGCTTCTGTGGCTCCTACTCGGCCTGCTTTCTTATGCAACACAGGCCCACATGCCCAGGGGTGGCACTACCCACAGTGGGCTGGGCCCTCCCACATCACTCAACAGTCAAGAAGGTGCCCCATGGACATGGCCACAGGCCAGTTCAATGAAGACAATTCTCCAATTGAGGTTCCCTCAACCCAGGTGTGTCAAGTTGACACTAAACTATCCAGCACACCACCTGGTATTTAGTTATATAACAGAAAACAGACTAAAACAGCACCCATTTCTACAAATTTCTAATGCTAACGCTCCATATTAAACCCAACTATACTTTAGCTTGTCTCACTTCTAGACTTATCTAGAGAAAAATCTAGGTAACTGGGGACTTCTCTCCTGCATATGGTAACAATGAAGGTATTGTCACTCTTTTCCTCCCCAGTCCCATCCTTCCAAACCTATGTGCCCTCTCTGACATCCTCCATCTGCATCTTAGGACTCTAAGACAGGAGCTGCTGGAGTTGCACCAATTATTAATGAGGGACAAGAAGGGCCATCCAGAGGTGGGTTATTCTCTTCCAGGACATAGGCACGTCTAAAAGTCATCACACCAATTCACATGAGAACACTGGCACTGCTTAGGTCTGAGGAGGACACACCTCACACACTCCTCAGTAACATGCCAGGGTCTCGGCTGGGACTAAAGCATAGGAGGGCTGACTGCTACCTGGGCTGACTGACTACTGCTGGGGTTTTATGGCTGCTACTGGAGCTGACTGACTGCTGGGGCTGGGCTTCTACATTAAAACTCCTCCTAGTCACTCACAGAGGCTTTAGTTAGGTATAAATTGTGCTGTTTACTTTTGGTTTTTTATAATTCTCCTTTTTCTGTGATGAGATGGAGCTCAGTTGGTAGAGTGCTTGCCTAGCATGCATGAAATCCTGGATTCTACCCCCAGCACCACATAAACCAGGTGTGGTGAAGCACACCTGTGATCCCAGCACTTGGGAGCTTGAGGCAGAAGACCAGGAGTTCACCCTTGGCCACATAGAGTTCAAGGCCAGCCCATGCTACACAAAATCCTGTCTCAAAAATTAATTAATTAAAAATTTCCCTTTCATAACCATAAAAATAATACCTCTACCCACTGAAGAGAATGTGGCACTAACCCATCAACCTTCTTCCCTCTGGCCTGCCCAGGTCCCTGATTCCTCAGTACTGAGCACCCTGTAAAATATCTATCAGTTACCAGTGATATGGGGAGTCTCATCATACAAATATCTGCCATTTGTGCTTATTTTCTATTGCACTATCTTTCTTAAAGATCTGTAAAACATGGGCTGGAGAGATGGCTCAACAGTTAAGAACACTGACTGCTCTTGCAGTGGACCCAAGTTGGTTCCCAATACCCACATGGCAGCTAATAACTGTAAATAGCTCCAGTTACAGGGGATCTGACACCTTCTTCTGACCTCCAAGGGCATTGCATGACACCAGTACACTTACATATGTACAGGCAATACATTCATATACATAAAGATATTTTTAAAAGATCTGTAAAACTCTTCATACACAGAAATTAAAGCATTCTGTCAAGCATTGTTCTCTAGTTTATCATCCATACCTCAGTATTTTTTTAATTGTCTATAATTTCATACAGTTTTCTACTTTTCTTCTTAGTATAGATTTCTTTATTTGATGGGAAAAGCTCTTCTTAACACTTCAATTTTTAAACCTGGGCTATGGTGTGAGGTAAGGATTTAATTTTAACATCTTTATCTTTATCCCATTACTAACATAAAGGCAAAAACTGTTTAAAAAATATCTTTAAATCAGTCCATTTCAAGACAGTCCATTTCTGCTCAATCTTCTACATTCGAAAACCCAAAAAACAGTCTGTAAAATTACTTTGTTATTCTAAAACCAAATGACAACTGAACCACCATCATTCCTTTTTCAAAGAGCTGAAACTTACCAAAATTGAAGCAAAAGCTTCCTGTATTGTCACAGCGGAAATGACAGTATCCTGGGGTCGTTCTCACCTTTTCATCACTCCTTCCACCAGTTAATCTGGTTTATTAAAGCTCACAGGGTGGTTAGATCCCTTTTCAATCTTTCTCATCTCTAGGGGAAGAGGCATTCTTGGTAAAGGACAAGAGGGTTTTGAGCTTATTCGGCCACTTCACAAAGATCTCAGAGTGAATCAGGTACTAATGGCCTCTAATGTCCATGGGAAGCCCCAGGGCAGACACACAGAAGAGTGGCAAAATGCAAGCAGCCCCTCCTGGTCTGAAGGGCCCCTCACCTCTCCTCACCTCCCACCCATCAGGGTCCTATCTTTCCAAATGCAGGCAGCCCCTCCCTCACATGAGGAGCCTGCTCTGTACCATGCCTGGCCTTAGAGAGCTGGAATAAGCTTCAAGTATTACTTGGTGACACCAAGTAATGACCCCAATGGTGGCTATCTGGTGCTTAACTAGAGTTGCATACATCCTAAAAGAGTACCCTGTCTACCTGCCACATGTCCTGGACAAAGTATAGCTCCCACTCTGTAATCTTACAACCCCACAAAGAAGGTGGGTGGGAAAGGCAACACTAACCCAGGCCACACACTACGATTCCCAGGCAGTGGCATAGTCGTCCCTCAACAGTGGCTTAACACTTTGCTCCTAAGCCAGTCGATTTCTTGTTTTAAAAAGCAAATATCAAACTTCAAATAACAGACCCATATTCTCACAAGGGTTTACTGGCTAGAACAGCAGTTATTCCCAAAGAGTGTTTTTAAATCCTATCTTAGCTGAACACTGCAGCCTTCTTTCTTAAAGGCTTTTTGTTTCATTGTGTTTGTTCCAAGTGGTTGTTTGGGAAAGCACAAACCTCCCTATTTGTGATAGGTATAGCAGAGCAGCATGGGCACCAGCTCTAGTGGCCAAGATGCCTTGGGAAGGTCAGGTCAGGGTGCTGAGGCTGGCACCAGAGCTGCTCACTGAAGTACCCCATTGGGCCACTTTCATATATTTCATCCTGACTGGCAGTTTGGTTAGAGCTGCTGAGGCTGAGGATGGCTTCTGCTTCTTTTGGATCCTGAAAATCAGAAGCAACTTCCTACCTGAGCTGTCAGATCTCCTCCTTCTGCCTCATCTCTCACATGGAGAAACAGAAACCAGCAAGGGAAACAGTCTGGCCCCACGTTGCACAAGCTCTGACTATGCCAGGACCCTTCACTGCACTAGACAGTGACTGTTGTAGGTGCATGTAGAGCACTGTCCCAGGAGGCAGTGGCTTGCTCCACACAGAAGTAAAGGTGAGCCCAGCAAAAGCCAGACTTCGTCTCTCCCAGCCGCTTCTCCCATTTTCCCGCCTTACCTGCCTGAGGGGCTTTAGAGGTATCTTCTGGGAGGCCACATGCAGAAGGTGGAGGAGGTGTGGGCATAGAAGTAGTGGGCACAGGAGCAGGGGCAGTAGGTGCAGAAGCAGGGGCTGGCTGCTGCCCTGTTGAAGGCTGACTGGAATCCTTCATGCGGTTCACCACACTTTCAGACAGCTTTGGGAAGAAGTGAGAAATGGGAAAAAGTTACATGACAGGAACCTCTTACTCCTGCTACAGAATTACTGGACACACTGTTTTCTTGAGACCAGCTCTAGGAATATAATTCTATTCAAAAGCCTCTCATGGTGGCCCAGTAGCAAGCTCACTTGGAATTCGAAGACAACCCCAGGAAGGCACCTCTGGCTCCTCAGCTTCCCTGGCCCCCCACTGCCCTTTTGGCACTCTGTACTTGGGGTGTCATTCCTCACACCTCATCCTTCATTCATTCACACTCCCTGACCCTCTGAGTCCCACCAGCCCCACAAGTCTCCCATGTCCATCATCAGTGGTCCTTTCAACATAGCTCAGTGTTCTCTCCCAGGAACCTTTGCACACACCCTCACAAAGTGCCATCTCTCCCCTCCCCCAGCCCACCCTGGATGCCTGCCAGGGAAGCAGCCCCCTGTGTGGAAACCTCCAGGGCTGGACTTCCCTAGCATTCATCCCCCACTCCCCAGCTCCAGCACCACACAGAGCAGATAATCAGAATACTTCTTGATTCATTTCACCTGATTCCCCTAATGAAGCCCGGGTAACCAAAACGCTCATTCATTTTAGAGGAAGTAAAATAGGCATGAGGGTGTCATAAAACAGTTTACTGAGATGAAGTAGCAAGCTAGGGATAAATCCCAGATAAAAACCCTTAAGAGTTCACTTCAGTAAATATTTATTAAGTGCCTAATATACACAAGCCGTCATAAAGCACAGCTGAGGGGAGAACATTAAAAATGGCTTTAAGACAAAAGACACCATCAGCAATTCTACTCCCAGCTATCTACCGGAGAAAAGTAGTCCCCTGTGTGTACAAGTATGTGTTAGGATGTCACTGTGGTACTGGAAGAGAGGGAAAAAAGCTTGGAAACATGAACATCCAAGAGAGAACTGCTCAAAGAAATCATAGTGCACAATTCTGTGAGATGTCATGTAGCCACCATGGAGGACTGTGGCAAGATACCCATATCCTGTCAGGAAGGAGCTGTGTGACACAGGGAAGGCGGCTAGCAAGTTGCAGGACTTTCAATGCATCTCAATTTGGTGAAAAGAACACACAACTGTAGAAATGCAAACATAAATCTAACTGAATGTGAATACATACACACCTACATTTATAGACACAAATCTACATTGACTTTTCACATCTCTTCACAGATGCACATACAGGAACTGCTCAGAAGGGCTGGCTGCAGGATCCTCACCACAGCACTGGAGGATAAGTTGGCAAGAAGAGCTGAGCAGGATTTTCACTTCTACCTTTTTTGTTGTTGTTTTTTGCTACTCTGTGTGTGTGTGTGTGTGTGTGCATACATGTATGAGAACGTACATGTGTGGATGTGTGTGTTTAAGCATTAATGATCATTTGCCATGATCATTTCTTTGATAAAGATTATATTAATAATTGAATCCCTCCAGTATTTAGGATGCAGAACAAACCTATCAGTGGGAGAGATAGGGGGCCTGGAATGAAGCTGTGTCTGTGGTCCACTGATGGCCAACAGGATTATGCTGTCAAGGTCGGGCTATGATTTGAGTTTGGGTCATAAGGGTTTGTGATGCAAGTTTGGTGGGACCCATAAGAAGTGGGCCTAGTGGTGTGGAGTCACTACTGACTCCTCCCTACTCTGTTCCATTGATAATGTGATCTCTTGAATGTGCTCTACCCTGGTGATATCATCTGCCATGAAGTGATGCAGTCAGGGGAATCCCTCACCAGAGCCAGCACTATGCTATTGGATTTACAGACATCAAAACTGTGAGTTGCATGAACCTCTTTTCTTTGTAAAAACTCAGACTCAAGTATTTCAACACAATAACAGAAAACAGAACATGAGTACCAACATAATTCATGGAGAAAGAGCCCATCTGTGATGACATGCAGACAACCTGACATTCACACACAAGACAGCGAAGTTGGACCCCTACACTAAACGAACTCAAATAGATTAGTAACCTGGGCTGGAAAGATGGCCCAGCAGTTAAGAACACTGGCTGCTCTTGCAGAAGACCCGGGTTTGAATCTTGGCACCCACATGGCAGCTAACAACTGTCCTAACTCCAGTTCCAGGGGATCCGACGGACTCTTCTGTCCTCCGTGGGCACTGTATGACACGGGCACACTTACCTACACACAGGCAATATACACATACACATAAATTAAAAATAAAATATTTTAAAAAAATAGACTAGTAACCTACATGTAAGAGCTAAAACAATAAAACTATTAGAGGAAAACATGGAGGCAATTCTGAATGACTTGTTTGAGGCATGGATTCTTATGGTACCAAAAGTAAAAGTGACCCATAAAAGACAGATAACTGGACTTCATCAAAAGTAAAGTTCTGATAATTACAAGACATACTCAAGCAACTGGAAGGAGCCCACAGAATGGAGAAAACATCCACAAATCATACACCTGAGAAGGGATTCATATTGAGAATACACAAAGAACACAACTGAAAAGAAAGTGGTGTGGTCTGGCTCAGTAACCCTCCAAGGTATGCATGCTTAAGTCTGGGTAATAGTACTGCAAGGTCCTTAGGTGAGTGGGATATGCCCTTAATGGAGTTGAGGGACCCCATTCTGCTCTCTCCTTCCTTCCTGGCTCATGAGGTGAGCAACTTGTTCCAGCATGTGTTTCTGGTACATGTTCCCACCATGATGTGTGTTTCCACCATGATGTACTGCTTTCATCAGTACCCAGAGCAGTAAGACAACAGTCATGGAGTAGACATCCCACACTCACAAGCAAAGATAAAACCTTTTCCTTATATGTTATATGTTAGCTTTCTTAGGTACTTTACCACCATAACCCAAAGCTAATATACAGGACAAAAAATCTGAACAGAAATTTCTCTAACATACAAGAGAGAAAGAGAGAGAGAGAGAGAGAGAGAGAGAGAGAGAGAGAATGAGAGTGAGCCAAGAAGCAGATAAAAAGATACTCAACACCATCCATCATTAGTGAAACACAAAATCAAACCACATGGAGAGGCCACTTTACATCCACCAGGACAGCTGCAATCAAAAAGTCACACTCCGGGGGTCTGCAAAGACAAAGAAACCAGAGCCTTCATACAATGTCTGTGGATATGTAACCAGAGCCTGGAAGCTCCTCCAAAGACTAAACATAAGAGTCATTCATATGATCCTACAGTCCCAGTTATAGGGACATGCCAAAGAGAAAGGAAAGCATACCCTCACACAAATCTACACCAGTATTCACATCAGCATATGTAGAAAGGCCAAAGCCTAGAGACTGCCCACATGTTCCTTAACTAACAAGTGCATAAGTAAAATGAAGGCATCTCTACAATGCAATACTACCGAGTCATTAAAAAGGAACCAATACTGATGCATGCCATATAATGGACAAGACTGGACAATACAGTAGTGAAAGAAGGCAGACACAAACAGCTGCAGCCTGCATGACACAGACCTGCATGGTATGCCTAGCCAGGAAAATATCCAGGTACAAAAGGAGGTTACCAGCAACCTCAGGCCTAGAGAATGAGGATATTGGGAGCTGATAGCTACAGGACCAGGGGTGACTTGGGGTGAGTGGGGTAGGGGAGATATGTTAATGGTAGCACATACCTGGATATAACTTTGTGGTAGAATGCAGGAGACCCTGCTGGGTTCCATCCACAGTACAAAAAAGAGAGAAAGAGCACAAAAATGAGCAGGCCAGCTAGGGTGTCCCTCAGAGACAGCCAAGAGAGATACCTCAGAAATGTGCTCATGAAGGCAGGAGCAAGGTTCAGGAAGCCTTGGTAGGGGGTCAGGCATGGAGAGGTAGACTCCTACGTGTTATAGGTTAGGGTACCAGGGATGCTCTAAGTATGAGAAGGAGACACTTGCAGACAGGGAGAGACTAACAAGCCTGGAGCCACAGATTTGTGCAGGAAGTGCGAGGTGCAATAGTGGGCAGTAAAAGAGGCTTAAGTGTTAGAAGCCAAGGAACCAAACAATTGTAAAGCTCTGAGCTTTACAGGAAGCTCTGGATGGTTTGCTAGAGAGAATGGTCAGGACACAAGGGGCACAGCTTTGGCAGGGTCAAGACAAAGGCCTGCAGGGCAGAGGGAAGGGAGTGTGCAGTGGCTGTCTTGCCTGACAGGAATGAATGAGAGCAAGGGCTTGAAGAGAAAAGAGTTTGACTCCTGTGATAGTGTAAGAACTTGGGTGAGAATGGCAGAAAAGGGGAAGTCAAGAAAAAAACTATCTTGAGAAGGTAGAATATTCAGTTGTAGATATTAAAAATCCCTCAGATTATGAAAGGGAAAGAGCCTTCAAGAGTTGGGCTTGCTTCTTCTCTGAGCTGTGGAAACTGAGCACAGTGACAAGCAGACACGACACGTGGAGAATAAAGGTCAATTCTAAAGCAAGAGGAACCAGCTACATGCTGAAGTCAGCACAGGGCCCAGTGCGTGTGTGTAACAGCAAGGATGAAGTAGAATCTTCCTGCAGGGAGCCTCTGAAGGGACTCTGAATGGGAAGAAGTTCTGTGCTCTACCACGGGAATCCCAGGAAGCAATGTGACCAAGAGTTAAGGCACAAGGAATCATGACCACACTCTGTTTCCCTTCACCAGGCCAATGTCTGATAAGCATTATGTGATTACGATGCTCTAGAAACAATTCCTTATGGCAGGAACTTGTGGAAAAGACACAGTGAGCCATTTCGCTATTCTTTTTTGTTGTTAGTTGGTTTTTGGTTTTTTTTTTAATACTGCTAAGGATCAAACCCAGGGCCCCAAACATGCTAAGCATATGTTCTACTGCTTAGCCACACCAGCCCAAACATACTGTATTTCATGCAGCCAAAGACGTCATGCCATTTCTGATATAGCCTGATAAGACAAAAAGTGCTAATGAAATTAGTACTCTACCTATTTTACAGAAGCTCAACTTCAGAAATGTGAGAACATGTTTCAAAAACATCAGTAAAGATGTGACAAATGC